CTATTCGATAATTTAAATAAATTTAATTAATTCTTTAATCTATAATTTATTAGCGTTAATTTTAAATCGCTATTATTTCGCCGTTAAATTTAATAATACTTATAATTAATTTAATTCGAGTATATTTAATATAATATTAAGATCTTTTTAATTAATAATATAAAAGAGTATATTATACTCTTTATCTTAACTCTAATTATTTATTAATTAATAATTTAATTAATACGCGCTATAATAATATATATTTTAATTACTTAACGCTTTCGATTACGATAAAATAGCGTTATAAGATTTTAAGTTTTATTAAATTATAAACTTTTATAAAATTAAATTAATATACGCTTTAATATCGAGTAGAGTAATAAATTATCTCTATTTATTCTAAAGCTTTATTTATTTCTTTATAAAAATAGAAGAGATTATCTCTATTAATCGTTATTCTTATCTTACTTCTAAGGCGATTATAAGATTTAATTTTTTTTTAATACTATATTAATAATAATAATAAGCGATTTATTAAGATTTAGATATTTAGATATCTAATAACCCTATTTTCTATAATAGAAATAATTATTCTTTTTATAATTAGAGTTAAAGAATTTAATTTTATACTTTATATTATCGTCTTAAGTACGCGTTATATAAGCGCTATTATTCGAAATTAATTTAAACTTTAAAATTTAATTCTCTAGAGACTTATTCTTAATAAATTCTCTTAAAGATTTTAAATAAAAATTACTATCGAAGTATACGCGTTTTAAAATCTTTTTCTATATAATAGTCTAGATAAGAATTTCTTTTTATTATTTCGATATACTATTAATATTTAGAATTTTATTCTTAAACTCTAATTTAAGCTTAGCTAAAAAGAAATTAATTTAATATTTTTTAGAAAATAGAAATAAATAAGTTTTTAATTTTTTTAAATAAATTTTAAAAATAAATATCTTCTAATTAAAGTGTTATTTAATCTTCTTCTACTTTTTATAGATAAGAAAATAGCGATTTATTAGATTCGCTATTAAATTAAATAAGAATTATTTAAAGAATTTAAAAGTTATATCTTCTAGATTATAAGCTTAATAGTATTTATATTATTAAATATTAAGATTATCTTCTAAGAATTATATATAATAAATAATCTTTAATTAATTAGTAATAAAATATTTAAAATTTATAAAGAACTTAATTTTAACTTCGCGGAATTAGCGTAGATACTCTCCCTTATTAATACTCTTATAAGAATATATTCTTTTAAAGCGAAGTATTTTTATTTTAATTAATATATTCGCTAAAAACGCGATAGTAATTAATATAAATAAACTTTCGTTAGTTATAGATAATAAGTTAGTATTATAAAGCTCGCGATTATAAACCTCTAACGTAGTTAATTTATATTCTTATTTTAAATAACGATTTTTAATCTTAATAATTATAAAATATTATTTTATAATAAGATCTTTTATTAATAAGAAATTCTTAAACTTATTATCGACGCTATAGCGACTTTCGATATTATCTTTATTTTTTATTATATAATCTAAAAATAAATTCGATATTATAATAATAATAGATCTTTTTTTTAAAAGATAAAGATATTGCCGAGACTCTTGGTGGTAGCAAGGCAAGCCTTTCCAGATCTCTACTGATAAAGTCTAAAAGATCAGACGGTTTTAAATCGTCGAATAATAAGGTCTTTGAATTGTTCTTCTATGACGATAGCTAATTAACTGGCTACCCTCTCTCATTACTACTAGAAATACATCTATCGTACTCGAATATCCACTATCTATTGATTACCTAACCTTTCTATAGCTGAAAGATATCAAATATAATCTCGTTACCCTGTATATAGACTGACGTACTACGTTCATCTCGCTGCCGACTACCTCGCTGCCAACTACCTCGCTGTCAACTACCTCGCTATCCGTCTCGTATAATTCCACCTCTTATAGCCTTATCTCTTATAACTTTATCTCGCTATTTATCTTATATAGCCTTATCTCTTATAGCTACGGTTTTAAAGTATATATTAATAATAGTAATCTTCTTCTCTTAAGCTATCTAACTAGCAGTAATCGATATATTATCATATCTACGTTCACATTTACATTCGCGTCCGCGTTCGCGTTATACGCCTATTCGTATATATTATTACTTCGCTAAGATAGATATTTCTTTATTTATTTAAATTCTAATAATTTATAACGTATAGAGTTTTAAAAAGTAAGTTCTATATATATAAATAGTTTTATAGAGTTAAAAGATTTACTCTTAAGGCGCGTAATAGCGGGTTTATAAATAATAAGTAGAGGGTTTATAGACTATTCTAAATTCTTTAATATTTTAGATATATTATATATAAAGAAGACGACGAGTTTTTCGAAGCGTTAATGAGAATAAATATCTTTAATCTTAATAATTTTAGCGCTTATTTTTATTCTCGTCTTAACTTTATAAATATATAATAAATTAAAAATTATAGTAAAGATATTAATATAAGAGTCTAAATTATTATTAATCTTTTTATACTATTTATAAACTCTTATAAAGATCTATAATATTATATATATAATAATATTACGAAATAGTAATTTTTATAATTTAATCGATATAATAATCTTTATACTTTTAAAATTAGATATATACTTAAATCGCTAACGCGTTAGAAGATTATTAATTTTATAAATTATCGTTTATAAGTCGCTAGTTAAAAACTTTAGCTCTTATTTTAAAATAGTATAATTATCTTTACTTTTAGAGCTAGCCGTATTAAAGAAATAAGATTTCTTATTAATATAATATTAAATAAACTTTCTTTTAAATAGTTAAATTTATATATTAAATAGATAGTTATAAAGTAGAGAGTTATATACGTTATATATCTCTTATAAAGACTTTTATTCCTTCTTAAAAACTATTTATATATATATATATATTACGCGTTTTTAATAAATTCGAAATTTCTTCTAAATCTTTTTTATTTTAAAGTATTACTTATAATTAGTAATAACGTTTTTATTAATATATTAGATATATAGTATATATTCGAAGTTTAAAAGAATAATATAATAAGTATTAATTAAGATTATTTCGCGATTAGTAATATTAATAATAGAGTTTAAAATATTAAGCTTAAGATATATATTTTAATATTATTAAAGTATTTATATATAATTCTTCTTTTTTTTTAATTAAAAAGTAAAAGATTATATAGAATAATAAGTTAAATATAATTATATCGATAATAATAAGTAATAAAAGCTTATATTTATTTATCTTATAAATATAATTTATAATAAGTACCTCTTAGTTAACTCTTAGTATTTTTTAATATAATTTCTTAAAAAAAAAGAATATATAATTTAATTATAAGAGTTCTTTAGAAATTTAATATAGTAGTTATTAAAATATAGCTATTTTATTAATATTTATATCGATATAAGTAATTCTAGTTCTCGTCGACGAATTATAGTCTTTATATTATAGATATCTTATATCTTAAAGATAAAATTCTCTTCGTTATTTTTATAATATAGATTTAAAATAATCTTATCTAGAGTCGTATAACTCTTCGTACGCTTAATAATAACTTTCTCTATCTTCTTAATAAGAGTAATCTAGTAAAGAATAATATATATTATTTATAGAGTAATTAAATAATTATATAACGCGTTATATATCTTAAAATATTAATTATTATTAAAATAACGCTTAATTATAATTTTAAATAAATATTTATTTAAATAAGAGAATTCGTAAATTCTCTTCTAATTAATAGTTATTTTTATTTTATCTTCTCGAGTATAGCGTAGTTATATCTTACTTATAATACTCTTTTTATTTTTTTTAAAATAATATATAATAATAATATAATCTTTTAGATAAATAAGCTTTTAAATCTTATATATAAAACTCTCGCGAATAATATTTAATAGATCTTCTAACGATAATAGTAGAGTTATAATTATTTAATTAATAATAATAAATAATATAGAAAATAAAAATATATTAAATTATAAAGAAGGCTTTCGGCTCTATATCGGCTATATATGAAGTTTATATCTTATATAGCTAGCGGTCGCGTGAAAGCTATTCGAATCTGAGAGGGTATATATATATTAAAAGGGGATATACGTATATTACAAGCCTATTTATAAAGTTCTTCGTTAAAAAAAAAAAAAAAAAAAAATTCTACGGGATTTTCTACGGATCTTATCGCGAATTCTTTTTAAGGAAACTTCTTTTTTATACTTCGAGTGTTTCTTAGAGTAATTTCTCGAGTAACTCTTTAAGAAACCCCTCGAGTAACCCTCTAAGTACTCTCTAAAGTATCTCTCTCGAGTACTTTTAAAAGTATATTATCGAATAATCTCTTAAATCTCCCTCGAGTACCCCCTAAAGAATCCCCTAAAATATCCCTTTAAAATATTTCTTAAAGAAACCTCTTTAAGTATCTCTTTAAAGTCGCGGGAAGGATTTTTTTTTTAAGAAAAAAAGGTTGGTTTTAGTTTTGTCGTAGTATCAGCCCTTATCCGCTGTACTCGTGTGGAATAAACGTTCACGGCTGTACGAGGAATCAGATCTGAAGGAAATGTCACTGTGTATGTTGGATACGTATCTGTCTATTCAACAGCTATCATTCTCAGGGTGAGGCTTCTACTGAAAGCAGCATCCCTCTCTACGCCCTAGAAAAAGAAGTCAAGCGCCGAGAACCACCGCATCAGATGGCTGAGTACGCAAGTACAAATAGACACCAGTGCCGCGACATTCTTCGTGAGATCTAGCCCTTCGCCCTCCAATCAAGCGGTCACAAGTGACCAAACCTTCTGCAAGGATAGCAGCTTCCACGCCTTCCCGGTCAAAACGCCGCCCATGCAACATCAATCAAAGTAACTCGCTCAGGAAACATGGCCGCAGATAGGAGTATCTAAGTCGTTGGCGGATGTATGTACAGGGAGACGCATGCAAAGTAGGCCGTATATCGGAGCGTCGTGATGCTATCGCAAAGAGGACTGCCCATGTCGTGCTTTCGAGGTGTGCACATCCGAATGGCTCGACTCCACCCTCGTGAGAAGAGCTGCCGAGGTAAAGTCGTTACTTGCTTCGTAGCTTGGTCGTATCTGGTCCATCGAACTCCGCATTCTGTCGAATGATGGCCTCGGTCGTTCGAAGGACACGCGAGGTTGCTCCAAAGACGACTTGTGCCCAGTGTATTCGGTCCCATCACTGCCGGTTTGGCTGTGGGGGTTGTGTGTGGTGCCTGTCGCAGCTACCGAGGGTGGGTAAATAGGTCGTTCATCATCTTCTAACGGCGTTCGCGTACCTGGGGCCGCTTTCGCAGGCTGAGAAACATCGGACGAAGCTGCTGATGGCACTTTTCCCGGCGGCACGTACGCCTCATACTTGTCCAGGTACTTAAACCTCCCTTGCCGAATCTGTTCTCGGATGATATCGACGTCCATGGGGAAATATATCTTCTGGAAGGACTTGATCGTGAATCGGGGCATCAGACATATGCTGACCGTGAGTAGCGTAAGCACCCAGAATGAAAGCTCGCCATAGACTTCGGGCGCCGCCTTGTAAAATTGATCAGAGGAAGAAAATGCAGTGTACACCCCAGTCCAGAACCAGATCAGGAGGATACTGAAGGAAACGAGCAACAACATCAGCCAATCCCACCGGTAGGTGTTCAACAAGATGTAAAGGTTGACGACTACGATGGTCGCCGTGGCGGTGTACACGCCTATCCTCTTGTTGTCGTTGAGATCTAGACCATTGCTGGTAGTGAAGGTGGCGGGCCTAAACAGCAGGTATGGCATGAAGAAGCAAACCAGTGATTGGTAAATTCCATCGAACATGTAAAGCCTACACAGGGTCAGCAAACACGTGAGAGCAACGGATACCTCTCACATACCAGAATTTCTTTTGGGACCATTCTTTCCGCTCAATGCCTCTCCGGTAGAGTTGCGGAACAGCTAACGAAACCTTGTCGTTTACGTCCTGATCGAGTATACCCATGAAGATCACCGCAAGAGATGTAAACGCTAAATTGACGAGCAGGATGTAGGTGTAGTCGAAAAGGTAAGAGCAGTCGAAATTGTTGTATATCTGATACCAGAAAAGGGCAAACGTCCAGACAATGTTCTAAAAGACCAGTCAGCGCGTTGACCAATCAGCCGTGCGGCTACTTCATGCGTACCTTGTAGAAGAAGTTGGCAATGGTCTCTGCCAGACGTCGGTAGGACCAACGGCCGTGCACGAGAATCAGTCGCTGTAAGAAGCGGAACTGACCGATGGCATAGTCGGAGGACATGACTGCCTGTCTACCCTCCTCACCGGCGATCCCAACGCCTACATCGGCTTCTTGTATCATTGCCACATCATTCGCACCATCGCCAATGGACAAAGTCATCACGTCCAATCCATTTTTGACCATCTGAACAACCGCCGCTTTCTGGGCAGGGCTCACTCGGCAGCACAGAACAGATTTGCACATCTTGCAAAGCAGCAGGAACTTCTGGCGCAGCCCCTCCCCGAGGACCAATTTCAAGGCATCGCCGTCGATGACAATAGCGTGTGTAGGTCCGGGCGGCTCGTGATTTTTGCGAGCGGCCTTCAGTTCTTCGTCCGAGCCGGTGATGTTGAACGAGGACAGATGCTTGTCCAGCTCCGCCTCGGCGGCTCCAGGTGAGTCCTCCTGCACCTTGAACACGATCAGGTCCATCTCGTTGCTGAGAAGATTGCAGGAGAAACCAATGTTGATGGCCGTCTCTACTTTGTCACCCGTGAGCACCCAAAGTTTGATACCGGCATCCGCGAGCAGAGCGATGGTGTCCGGGACACCATCTTGCAATCGATCCTCAATTGCCGTTCCTCCAATGAGGTCGAGGTCCCTTTCAATGGCGTCGGAAACAATCTCAAGTTTGTCCTCTCTGTCGATGATGGCCGCTGCGGCAAGGTCGTGCTCCTTGTTCCAGACTTGATATTCTTTCTCACCTATTTCCTTTTGTGCAACGCATAGCGTTCGTAGACCCTCACGAGCAAACATCTCGAGATGTTCAGCGGTGACTTTCCTCAGTTGCTGTTGCTCTCCTCGCTTCAGTCGTGAATAGATGACGCTGTCGGCGCCTTTGCAGAATAGCACAATCCTGCCGTCGGGCATACGTATGATGGCGCTCATACGTTTTCGAGACGAATTGAACTCGAGAGTGTTAAGCACCGTGTACTCTCTTTCCTCGCCCAGGATGTTCAGAATGATACCGTCGGTGGACCTGCCGATCACCGTGAAACCACAGTCCCGGGCTGTGGCCACCAAAGCCGCTTCATCAGGCGACTGGGCTTTGTACTCGATCCTTGGCGGATCCCCCGGTGTTCTTTCGGTAATTACGGTATGGCAAAGGGCCAGCGCAAGCATAAATTTCTCGGTCGCCACTTTCTGTTCCTGCCCGGACTGGCCTTCCAGGTCAGTGACGAAATCAGGGGCAACGAATGTTAGCTCATCATCGTGAAGATAGGGATTGTTATGCATCTTCCGAAGGTCCTTCAGCATCTTGATACGATCCTGAGCAATCTGTTTATGCGCTTTCGCCCCCTCTGCCTCGGTGTCTACACCTTGGCGCCTCTGCATGCCAGCCTGAGCCTCGGTATAGGCCTCTCCATAAGGAAGCCCGTTGATAGAGCACTTTTTGAATTCCATAACATTCTGAGTCAATGTTCCCGTTTTGTCCGAAAATATGTATTCGATTTGTCCAACATCGTCCGAAATGTTCCATGACTTGGGCGTACAGGGATAATCGAGCTTCTCGTAATACATAAACGTATCACTATAGATGAAGAAGGCTTGAGCAGTCCTGATGATTTCCAGGGAAATGTATAGCGATATGGGGACCAAGTTCTGAAAGAGAATCACAGACGCCCAGAAGGTGATGAATCCGTCCAGCGAAGGTTTGCCCCCAATGGAACCGAATTCGAAGTAGTCCAAGGAATTGTTGCCCTGCGACCATATCACTCCGTTGATAATACCCGAGAGAAGGCACATGAAAAAGAGGATGACAAAGTTGTAGATGACGTCCCAATTGAGTTCCCTTGCAATGCGGGACCGTTTACTAGGAGTCATGCCAGAATTGAGCATGATCTTTGTTTCCCGTCCGGTGAAAACGACCACCCCAAGAACCCACTCGGTATTGCGGAGGGTGCATCCACGGAGGAGAAGATTGTTGATAGAAATCGGTTCCGCCATTTGGGTCCCGGGCGCCGCAGGACTTCTGGTATCCCTTTGTACCCATCTTGCCGCCCCACTATATTGATATAGATTGGCTTGAGGCGCGTCGCTTTCTATCACGAATTCCGTTTGCTCGCAGTCCTTTGCATGCTTGATCTTGCGCCCACTATGCAAAGCTTGTCGCACCTTCAGGTTGGTTTCCCCATCTAGACCTTTGGTCTCCACGTAGCAAGCACCGTCAGGATCAGAGGTAGACAAGACGACCAGGTCTGCCGGTATCTGGTCGTCGTTGTATATGCGCAGAAAATCTCCCACTTGGACATTTTTCCAATGATCCTTCTTGAATTTGGCCTTCCCCGGGACACTTTTCAGCGGGTCTATAAGGTTACCATAAAACTTTGCTGGAGCAGGACCACTCTCGCGTTTGGCTCCATTCGGAGCAGCCAGCTTGCCCTCAGCCGTTTCAAGCACGAGATTATCGTCTTCGTATGAAAAAGATGTACCGGGACGCTCTCCCGGAGACAATCTACTACTCTCTGTCACACCTCGCTGTCCCGGCTGCGGGGATGGTACTGGTGTCATCTGGATCTCGTCTACATCCCCTCGGCTTTGCATGGAGTGGAATGACGTCCGAGAAGACATCATTGAATTTCGAGTCCGCGTCGATTCGCCGGAAGGTCGTGCTTCATTCAAGGCTCTTTCGGCGTTTGTTTTCTCGTCGCGAGACTTTCTTCGGCTTTTACCCTTGAAGAACCTGAAGATTTGCACGATCCCGCGAGTCGTGGCTTTCTTGATTTTACGCCATAATGAGACGTTGTCAGCGGAGCTGTTGACGTTGTTCCATTCAACCAGACGATGAACTGGGGAGTTGTTGAGCTCGTTGTCGAGTACGGTTCTGCGCCAATCCTCTATAGCGTCTTTGACAGCAGTGACAAATAAAATGACTATCAAAGGCACGGAGCCTAAACCAGGGTTGGAAGCACCAAATATGCTGAAGAACTGTTTGACGTGACACATCAGCATGGTAAGCCGTGACGGAGTGAAGCACGTTCCTTACCGCAAGAACGATGACGAACAGGAAGTATATATTGGCGATGTTGTGGAATTGGAACCACAAGTTCTTTGGGATGAAGCTTAAAGGGGTGTACTTCGCTGTACGAATCTTGTTTCTGGCGTACTTTGCCAGAGGGCGCCCATCCTCATCCTTTGCGTCGTCCGGCAAGGGAATGTTGAAGAAGATTCTCCGCCTGGAGTCTTCTTGGTCGCCATTCTCCGTTGAAGTATCAGTCTCCTCTTGTATGCCATCTAAGTGCGAACCTTCCGCAGACTCCCCTTTCTTCTCGCTGGAACCCGTCTTTCTGTGATGTAGCCTGTTTATTATGCTATGTCTTTTTTTCTGCTCATTAGCACCGGTGATACGCTGTGTCGCCCATCGAATTCGCTTGATAGGATTAGAGACATTACTATCTTCCTGGTATGGCTGAATCGCCATAGCGACAAGACCGGGTCCACTTGATAGTGATCATCCAGGAATCCCCGTAGCTTTTGGACCTGGTAAGATGATATGTACCCCACCAGCGCAATCTCAGCGTAACATCTTTCAGACTAGGTTGAACGAGTGAAACGAAGTATTGAATCTTCCCACACGAGATGATTGTTTCAAAGCGAGCGAGAGTGAATTGTTGTCCGATATTGTTACCGGCTGCGGCGACCAAAATTCGGAACGGAGGGTCGGCTTAGAGTCGTTGCTAGTAGAGTATCAAGTGATAGGTTTTAGGGGAAGAGACAGGACTTTCATTGGGATTGCGAATCTCGTGTATTTTAGATTCTATGGATGTTCGCAGAGGCGAGAATTGGATAGAACAATGACAGTGGTTGAGTTGACTCTGAAGGGTCGCTGACGCTGACGCTCGAGGATCCTCGGGCGATTTGTAAGTTTTGACTTTTCTGCCCGGCTCCGGGTGGAAGGTGTCCGAGATATGTGAGAGGACCTCCCCAATTTTGGGGAGTCAAGTTGATGGCAGCTACAGAGTATGTGTTGGGCGGCGTAGCTGATGTATCTACTAAATTCTCCTCTATCGCGGAACTCTCAGCTGGCCAGGAAGATAGGTCTTTGATTCAGGCCACCTAATTACAAGTCGAGCGTACGAGCTTAGGGGCTGTAATTACTCGTAAGGCTGATACGTGTAAGCAACACTTTACTCTACGTTATCCTTCAGTTGGAATGATCCAATCCAGGCTAGACCTGCCTCCTCGGCTCCGTTACAATCAGTAGATTCGGTGCAAATGCTGAAGCACCGAAGCAATTGGAGTAAGAATTATCTGTCCTCGGGAATCGGCGATTCTGTGGAGCGGCTTGGCAGCGCGTGATCTTCGTGTGTACAAGTAGAGTATGGGGCGCGACGCGCTAAAGCCTCACTGAAATAATATCAAGCACCGAGTGATGATTGAGCCCCAGCAAGGCGCCAAAGACCGGCTGCGACCATGTACAAGAACACCAGTATTCTTAATTACTTCAAACCTTTCACAGAACCGCTTCGTCGGAATAAACGTCCACTGCCCGAAGACAATTTGGAAGACCCACGAGCAATGAAACGATCGCGTTCGATCACTCCGAAAGAAAGTCAAACGAAGCAGGCTCTTGATCGAGAAAGGGACCACTTGGGACGGGGCCTACACGGGACATTATCGATGGTCACCTCGAGGAGCTCAAGCAGACAGCCGTCAGGTCCCCAGCATGATGAGGAGCCCATGGATAATGCTGGGATCTCATACATACCCCCTACGCCCGTTTTCAAAAACTCAACGTCGCGAAATGCCGACGTCCGTAGTTCGCAAGGTACAATATTAATGAGCAGCCAACGTGAAGTGAAGAATGGGGAGGTAGTAATCCGAAATTCAGACGACGAGTCTGATTCGGATTCTTCACTCGAGGATCTAAATGATCTGCTACTAGTCGAGGGCCGAAAACCTCGGGGAGAAGCGTTAGGCCCAGAACCGCAATCACCTGCCTTGCCTCTAAACAGGAATGCCGAGGATGGACGTCGCACGAGTACCAGGCGCAGAAGCAAAACTGACAAAAAAGCTGCGCCGTTACGTTCGCCTGTTCCTGTACAATCCAAAAAGTATAGATACGATCTCGAGTCGTTAGCAAGACACAGGCAACAAGAAGAGGCGTCTGTCGAAGACATTGCCCAAGCAAATGCGATGCTCAGATCATTCGAGCAGCAAAAGGTATCTGTCCGTGGGAATCCGAGGGCTGGGTCTACAAAGGGGCCATTCGATGCAGCGTACATCGATGTAGTTATGAAGGAGCATGGGGATGAAGACGAAATATGTAGGCTCAAGGCCGCAATCCAGAGGACAGAAGCATTACATCAGGACAAATCCTGGTCCTTTTTCGATGAGCAGGGGGAGGAACCTCTATTCGAGCAATCGGATTTTCCTGTCATTGAGGATGACCGTCTTGGACGCATTTTCGGGAAGACGTCCTCGAGGCAGCAGGCTTTTCTGAGTGGGTACGTCGGCGAACTTGCGATGAAGGACAACCTGCCAGAGGAGATCGTACTTTGGATTATGGACGCGATATGTCTCGAGTCAAGGGACGACCTGAGGTGTTCTTACACCGCTACACTCACAGGTGCGTCAAGACACATGGCCTCGGTACTCTCGCCGGAACGCATCGATATGCTATTTCGAAAGATTGGAGCCACTGCTGCAGCGCTGGACATCGAAGAACCGGTCATTCCCCACGCAGCGTTGTCGCAGAGCATTGAAGCTGTCAGGCGGCCAAGCTTGTTGTCGATTCTAGATCTCTTCCAAAAACTAGCAAGCGAATTAGGTGCTGAGTCGAGGAGACATCTAATCTGTCTTTTATGCCGTCTTGCATTGGACCATTCCATAGCCAACAGCTGTCACATTACCAGTGCAATTGAAGACGCACTTGCAAGCCTGATTGAGTCAATCCCTGAGCAGGGTCTTCATCATGAAGTAGGTGATCAAGACATATAAGAGCAGTACTAAAGCTGACAACAATTCCAACAGCTTCAGGTGGTAAACACCACAGCCTTCACGTCGATTACGGACACAACTTTGCGCTTACGAATGCTCCAACATGTACCCGCCTCTTCCCATCGATTGGTCCTACTACGGCGACGTCTCGCGCTCGCATGCTTTTTCCGAGACATTCGACATTTGAGCCAGCAAGCAGATGTTACAATCAATCTCGAAAGTATCGCTCGTCAACTCGAGGGTCCACAGTTCATGACCAGTAACGCAACGGATTATGGCGAACTCGCAGCTGCAATTGGAATCCTTAGTATTGCCATTGACTGCGGTGATCCTCCGTCCTCGCCTTGCGCCACAGAGAAAGAGAGGGGCTTCAACCGTGATATCGATGTGCTGTCCTTCAAGATCAAGTCTATGTTCGCAGACATCGTCGATACAGGCGCCTCGCACATGGCAAGGACAGAAGCCAAAGAGGTGCTTGAAGCCTTTCAATATCGGCTGTCGTACGGTGTCCGAACGAAACCTCCTCCAAAGAAGTCTTTATTTGGAGACTCCACAGTCGAGGATGCTGCGAAAAGGCAAATGATGGAGACGTTTGTCGAAAAGGGGACGCAAAATACGTCATTTGCCCTGCCGGACAGCTTGCAAAGACAAGGTCAATTTAGGACTGTGGCAGCCTCGTAGTGAAAGTGCGCGAAAGGCACGGGGAACGTGTACTGTAAACGTCCTGCCAGTTTGTTTCTTTGCGTCTCTTGTGTCTGGAAATCATATACGTGATACCATATATCCGACCAGAGTGCAATTAATGTTTTACAATGACAGAAACCCTCCCAGCAGAGCCAATCACTCTCATGGCATGATCTATAAGCCAATGCAGGTTTACAAGTATCGTAGCCCAATAATCAATCGTAAAACCTACGGTTCTCATTCTTACCGAACAGAACTGTCCGGACCATGGGTAATGCATCGGTCTCCAGTAGCTTTAGGCGTTCATCGAGAGTGTTGTTGATATCGATCTTACCACCTCCGCCCACGATCGAAACACCTCCCGGCCTATTCTTCTTTAGTACCCTTCTGGTAGTAGCATGTGCGAAGGAAAGGAAGCCATACGATCCTTCCGGCTGCGGATTCTTCTCATCCAGCTCAACGTTGACATCCTTCTCCAGGTTCTCCTTATACTCCTTCTTCGCGCCGTTGATCGCCTTCTTCACAATATCGTAGTCGACCTTCCTTGCTCTCACTGTCACCTTGTCTTCATTCAAGGCGTACAATCCCTCCAGGATCAGCCCCCTGCACATGCCCTCGTATTTTCCCTTATCTTCGCTGTAACTTGCCAGCTTGTCTCTCGCCTTCTCGAACAGCTCATCGAGCAACTCTTGTCTCGCAGAGAGCACCTTTATGCGCGTCTTATTGGCAAGGGTTGAGCGGGTGATTTGCTGCGACATGGATGCCTGCTTGTGTTTTTTGGCGTACTGTGAGTCAATTGACGATGTTTCTTGGCGGACGAGCTTTGATTTCTCAATTGCAAACTCTTCGTCGGCCTTGATCTCGATTTCTTTGGCTTTCTCGAGGGCTTCTTGGCGAATGAAGGCAGTCATCTTCTTGAGTTCACCGGCCACCTGAACCTGTGCTTAACCTCCAGGATGCAGGCTGGAATTGGGAATTAAACATACCTGATCGTCCGACATGGCGTGAGACATCTTGTGACCTTAGATTTGTAGACAAAGGGGGAAAGATGTTCAAGGTAGGATGGGGAGAAGCAAAGTCAGCACACTGGGCGGGCGGTTGCCTTGGGAAGTACTAGTACTCAGTGGCAGCTTGGGACCCGATACTGTGTAGCTTGGATATCTTTGTACCCAATGAGCGTGAAGAAGGTCTGGTCAAGGAAAATGAATAGAAAGGATGGAGTGCAGCATATTTGCTTGTTCTTGTCGCAGGAGGCAAGGCACTACAGTACCTACCTAGACCGGGGACATTAAAGTACCTTAGTGTGGGATCTGGGCGCAGCCGCTAGTAGCAGCTCTAGCCCTGTTTTCGGAAGGCGGCCGTGTAGTGGAGGACTCTACAACTGTTTCCTGGGAGCGCATTGATTGAACTTTAGGTAGCTCTATTGGGGGGCCATTGGGCCCAGATCGGGCTCGGGTCGGGTGCCATTCCGAAGCAGATCTGGGGCATTGTTCAGGCAACCCTTCAGCCGGGGCGTTATCCGAGATCTTAGGCGCAGAAGTCTCTGGACTTTGCGTGCAGAGCTCAGAAAGTGAATACAGGAGGCGATTCATTTCCTTTTCCACGACATGCTGACCCTCCTGAGCAGTCTCAACCCAAGGTAGTGAAACGTGTACAACGCTCACTTGAACATGAATCAGTAGAGGTCTGTGAGCACATACCTTGACTTCAACAAAAGATTCATGAGCATGTCACTTCGGTCAAAACGTAACATTGCTTCCTCACACCCAGACCCTTTCACTGACACTTGATCATGTCTACCGGTCGCTAACTAAAGCCTACATTCTATGCTGTTGATGCTCTAGTTCCTATCCTTCATTTACTTTGGCATCTTTGCTGCTTCAACAGTTAGATATCAATGTCTGCTCCCGGGGGAGTGGACCCGAAATCAACTGTGTCCGAATTCTCGGACTTATCCAAGATAGAAGCATCTGCCTCCTACCACTTCAACCCCGAATGCGAGGCGAATGGCCTTCTAATTAGACCCAAGTACATCACCTCCGATGATATGTGTGACGGTATCAATGACGATGTCACCCTCCTGTGAGTTCAGTCTCTATTCCACGTTTAAGTGCTCTCTGCTTTGGCGTCTCTCCATTTTTCAATATGGCACCACCATCGTCGAATCCGACGGGTCAACTTCTCCTTCATTCTACGCTCTTGGTTGTACTACAATAAGGATTCTCTGACAGCATTCAATACCATGCTCTGGTTGTGCTCCTTCATAACTCGTCATGATTGCGTCCCACTTCCCAAGCATGCCTTCGCCATACGTGCGTAATTGTGAAGGTTCCTGCGGTCATTATTGGGCCTCACCTCACTTCCGCGCGACCCCCTTGCAGACGCTTCTTACGTGCTCGCCAATTTCATGTTCAAAAAGCACTCCACTTCTTCTGGGCGCCATGCCAAGCGCGCAATGACAGCAGCTTCGTCAGGTTCTATGAGAATGTCGATGTCGTTGACTACGAAGAAACTCGCAAGCTTGTGTGTCATGTCCCCCGAACGTGATTATCATTCTCTAACACCGCTGCAGTTCATGGCCTGGACGGGTTGTCGAGACAAGCGGGGCTTGACCATTTGCCTTTTCGATATGAAATACCTTACTTCCAATCTGGGAAGTTTCAAGAAGTCCTGCGATTTCTCATCGATTGCACAACCAACACCGACAGGATTGCCTTCTGCGGTGACCTTCCGCGCACTCGCCGTGTTTGAAGGCATGGTCAGATCTGTGTGGCCTCTTTGCTCTCGAATCCGCAAGAGACCGAGTCCAGAGGTACCAATCTTTCAAGCCACAGTCATTGCCGATATCTCGGCGGTGTCCCTGATGCAGATCTGGTGGATCAGAAGTTGGCTCCAGCTTTTTAGCAAGCTACTCGCGGATGCCTAACCCGAACTCTTAGATCGTGTAATCGTGAGTTGAATGGATCCGCTCCACAACCGGGTCTCTGCAACAAAGCACCAACACGGAAAGCATCAACACGGAAAGCATCTAACCGACAATAACCAGGTCACTGGTGCTCCGTCATACCTCTCAACGCTCTGGATATGGGCCAAAGAATGGATCGATCCTCTCACAGCTTCCAAACTCATGATGCTGAAGGAAGATGAAGTGTTGCCAATATTGGCAACGTACATTGACGCTGCCAACATCCCTAAAAAGTACGAAGGAGAATATGGCTTCGAGCATGGCCGGCAGCCAGATTTAGGCCCGGCAATCGATGAGATTGTAGACTGGCTGGCGCCATGTAGCAGCTCTTTCACTGCAGGATCGATGAAGCTGGTCTTCTCTTCCATTGAAGTGAGGCTAGCGGCGGCGGCGGGCAGCATCGACGGTACTCAGAGGACTCTCCTGGCGGGAATCGTGCATCCAGACAGGTTGGTGACCACGCAATCAGATGATGCAGCTGGTGGTGCTAACAAAATGTAATAGCTTCGATCGGCGTTGACCAGTGAGAACATCAGAATTCAGAATGCTCTGTCTCGAAAGACTGTCCACTATGGCAGCAGACACCCTAGAATCTCTTGGAGCTTCAGACGGATAGAGATACGTCCAATTGGTTGCTTAGATTGTGGAGTGGACAGATGGTTCCCCGTCTTCAGCAGTAGCAGCATGCATGTGCTTTATGGCTGGAGGCGCGATCAATCCATGTCATCAGACCCGTGTAATTGGAAAATTGTAATTAGAAAATTGTAATTAGAAAGCCTGAGCATAAAGCTTCACTTGAGGCAAGGACTAGTAGATTATATCCATTCGACATGCATAGACACTTTTACCAGTTCAAGCATCCACCGGACCGCAAAGAAACCCCTGAAACCTCTCACGTCTACACAGGTCGCTTGGGCCAGCGACGGCCAGAGCACCGGGATTTTTTCTTTGGAGTTAACGCTGTCTAATTGTCTTGTTGTATGGGTAATCATACTATCATTACATAGATATGCGGCTAGGGGGAAGCATCGCTTTCGTCTAACCGTTGGAGTCCTGTCGATAATGCACGGCTCAGACGCCACCCAATGTCTCTTGTATGTACGCAAATAGTAGTTCAAAGACATTCCTCATTGTGCCTTAACGCTCTTGCCGTCTCTTACCCTGTCAGGCAGTATCGCCACTCCCGTTCCCATTGCCATTGCCATTGCCATTGCCGGTACCCTTCCCTTTACCCTTCCTTTCCTTTCCTCTCCACCAGTTTTTCAACTTCCACCAGCCGCCCAATGCCTCTTGCGACGACGCTGACCTTCTCCTTCTTTCCCTCTCCTGGGTCTCCAAAATCGGCGTTGAATATCTCCTCTTCCTGTCCCTGTAGCTCCTGCCCGTGCCAGACCTTGCTAAGAGCGCCGTTGATTCATCTGGACTTTCGTCCATGGGATTTCCTCGAGATGGTAGTTTTGAAGAAGGGGTGGATCGTGCACTGCTCCTGAGGCGTGAGAAAGGTGACACTTCGGCAAGAGCATCGTCTTCCAGCTCTTCCCATATCTCTTCAGACTCTGTCATACCCTTTCTGCGCAGACGCGTGATGCTCAACAAGTCGTTATTCTTCATGGTAGGCGTGCGAGGATCATTAGAAGAGGAGATGCGGTGAGAGTTGCGGTGATTATTGAAGGGCGAATCATTGCCATTAGCTAGGTTTGCCTCTTCGTCCATCTGGGATTCTGGAGTGTTCCCCTCCGCTTCGGAGTCGCTGTCGTCATCGACGAAGCCCATGCCCGGAGTAAGCGTGTTTTGAGAGACGGAGAGTCTAGTTGCCGGGTCATTGTTGAGGCGCCAGGAGAGAGCGAGAACGCCGATAAGGAGAATGACGGTGCCTAGGGCAATCTGCGGCGGTGTTAACGGTCTCATAATCCAAAGGAGAGAGGGCCTAGTAGCGATGGCCTACCAGAAGGGCGTGAAGGAAAGAAAGTCGTGATGATTGATCAAAGTAGATGAGGCCGTCTAAGATGGCAATGATATTGTACACGCAGAAAACAAAGGGGTATAATATGCTAGTGGAGCAAAGTTTCAGGCCGCGATGCAAGTAGTAAAGTTGAGTAAGGGCGAGAGCAAGTAAGCCGAGCAGAATCATCCAGGACTGCCATCGGTTGAACTCATTATGTCTGTCCACAATCGTACGGACAAGCAATTCGACTGCTGATTTGGCGACCAGTAGAGAGTGTGCAGACAGGATTCCGCTGACGGCGCCATAAGCCATGCCCTTAAAGAGGCGCATCCGTGGACTGTGGCTGGTCCAGGGATTCATGTATTTGAGAGCTTTCGCCCCAGCAATGATGGCTACCACTAGGATAGCTTGGCCGATCATCCACAGAATGAACTGCCGCCTTTCCAGAAGTGCAAGAAGTTGGTCGAGATTATGCGCAGGTTCTCCGATGGCTCCGAATATTGCAATCAGCACAGCTCCACCGCAGACCAAGACTGTGCCTCCGAAAGACCATCGTGTGAAAGGCTCTCCCAGAATGAGAGTAGCGCAGATAGAGTTGAACACCAAGCCAGACTATGAAGCCATAAGCAGTCATCCTAGGACTGGAGAGATTTCGTCAATCATACAGCTTGCAATGTTGATAAAACCGGAAGAGGTAGGGTGGTGATCTGAATTGTGCTTCCAGCAATGTTCGAAACTATGAACATGAGCATACCAAGCTTGAAAAGAAGAGTCAGCCAGAAGCCCCACGCTGAGAGGTATGCTGCCTCCACGAACCTGCCATCTCCGTCGTCTGTGCGGCGGCCGACGGGGGTCATTGGGGTCTTTCTCATCCTCTAATATGTGCGACTTTCGTTGCAGTGTGAGGCCCAATGACTGGACAGAAGTGGAGATGAGTCCAACGAAGATACCGATCTGAGAAATTCCTGTGATTAGTAGCTGTACCACGCCTGCCTCAACAAGCTATCCTTAAGACTTACTACGACGCTGCCTTGCGGCGAAAGGCCGCCAAGCTGACCCATACTACCGCATCGGAATGATGAGCGCAAGAAGTGTCCTTGTCTTCAATCGAGAAGGATCCGACGAGCAGACCTGCATGGTGGTCTTGAAGCGCAAAGTTGCGAGAGGAATCGTTTTGACGCGAGCTCCGACAGACAGCCGAGCTCTTTGGTACGGAAGATCGCCGCTACTCGTAATGTCCGCGTCTGTGCTCGAGAAAACACCGTGCACTACAGACAATCTACCAAAGTCATGTAATACACATCAAAGCTGTCTGAATTTTGATGATGAAGATCTCTCTGTGCTTATGGCTACATGTGCAAAGGATTTTCTCTTGTGCTCTCAGTTGGGACTCATTCTCTCTCCACCATGTCTGCAAGCAAACTCAGCTATCGAAACCCCGAAACCCCGGCGCAGCCTGTGCTCGTTATCGCAATGGTTAAGAAAGCCTGATGACCAAAGTTCTGCGGGTACGAGGTGACCTGGTAGAAGAGGAGTGGTACTAGTAGGTTGATTGCTGATCAGAATGCTCAAGCTAGAAGATAGACCATAGTTGCTTTCGCAGGTACAAAGTTAATCATCCTCGCCCATCTATTTGCAGTGGCCCTAGTGTGTGACGTGTAAGTGTCTCGCCCATGTCGAGGGCCGAAGCATGCATGCATGAGAAAACAAAGCAACCAAACACCTAACATGTTTGCGCCTAAACTCCTCCTGCCCCATCGTGTACTTGCGCCTGCTTTTCAGGCATGTCTTTTGGATTAGTACAGGCCGAGTATCGATATTCCATGTTCCTCCCTATTTCCATTCATCGCAATCGTCTATCGCTCTAGCAGAACGCATCTCAGCATTCGCTCTCTAGGATGAGGAGTTCTGCTGCATCATACCCTGTGGAGGCATGGGATAGTGTCCTCCGACGCCTTGTTGCTGGTTCTGCATGTATTGCTGGTATGCCATTTGGTGTTGTTGTTCAGGTGTCATTCCGTAACTCGGTGGCATCCCGCCGCCTCGAGGCATGCTTGCCTGTGGAGCTGGGATTTGCGCGTGACTGACGTCTTCAGGAGAGTCGACGGTTGATTCGGCGTCAACGCCATTCTCGTTCCCCGGAGCGGGCTCGGGCGCATTGAGGCACGCCTAGAGATCGAGCGTTAGGACGAGTGTGTGTCATGATGGACAGATCAGGCAACATACCTGGATCAGGTTCTTGCCCTCGGGCTTTGTGACGAGAGGTTGTAGCTTGGGGGTTGTAAAGGTGTATACTAGTCCAGTCTCGGAGACGACGAGGAGCAGGACTTGGGTGCCGGTGAGGACCGAGAGCTCATAGGCCTGGGGAGAGCGATGAGTTAGCACTGAGTTGGTAGCGTCTTGTTCTAAGAGACGGCGCGATGGCTGTTTGATGTTGCCAAGCATACCTTCTTCATGATACCGGCTTTGCGCTTCGAAAAAGTAATGTGCCGACGAGACTTATCCTGAATGAATTTGATGTCAATCTTCCTCCTCTCACGTCCGGGCTTGTCGTCGTCATCATCGTCGTCGTCGGCGGCGGTACTAACGCGAGGACGCTTGATGCCTCGAGGGTCGGCGCCATTCCCGTTGCCGGTCGCGTCGTCGTGACCGCCGGGGGAGGCATTGGGATCAGCAATGTCGGCCATTGCTGAAGTCGAGTTGAGAGAATTGAGGTAGAAATGAAGAGAGTAGTGGGTAAATGATTGAGTTCGACCCGATTCGGTATGGAAGTTGATATGTTTGGATTAGGGTTACTGCGTTGGGTTAGAGAGAGCGTGCTGTCGTCAAAAGCTCCTCATCGAGAAAGGGTCAAGTTTGGTTGTTGGATGGAGACGAGGACGGAAAGGGGAAAGGAAAGAAGGGAGACGCTTGCCTTAATCTCTGTATGACTAAGCGGGAAGATAGCGTTACTTTTTAGTGGGAATCCCGAGTCATGGGGTTTTTTGGGGTTTTTTCTCTCTTGGAATGTTGTGTTTCAGCCCGAATTTGGCAGAGAGGGAGGGTGTGACAGATTTTGACTTTTGTTTTTTTTTGTAATTTTTTTGTTTTTTTTCTTGTGGAAATATTGCTGATTTGGTGGATGAGGAAGGGGATGGATTGGGGGAAGGGGGGGGGGGTGCCAAGGGCAATAGACTTCAAAGTCAGGATCGAAGAAGGAAGGAATTCCCTTGGATGGGGAAAAGCAGTTTGTTTGAATATGCGCGTGGGATCGAAAATGGTAAGAGGAATACTTTAAAGGGTTGGGACTTGGGAGACAGGGTCTTGATAAAGGCAAGGGTCGGAGAACACTAAGGGTCGAAAGAGCGAGAAAGAGGCTGAACTACTGCAGTATTATTCTTGGCTTCTTGGCTACTTGGCTTCTTGGCAACAAGGTGGGGGTTGTGGGAAAAGCTTGGCATGCACATCCACCCAAAATCCCCAAGTGGAAATGTTCGGTCAATAGTACCTCTCGGAATCTAGATCCTTCCGAAAGCACTTTTGGCGATTGCTGGGAGAGCATGATGCTGTCTGGCTAATAAGTAGGAAGTAACATCAATCAGAGCCCATAGAGATTCAATCTCTTCCGAGTCTGCCTTTTCTGCCTTTCCTTTGCGCCGGAAAATACACTCTTGTCCTAGTCAGTGCAAGACTGCACTTTTCTTTCATTGATAATTCTAATCTTACATTGGTATGCATCGTACCGATCCTCCTAGCGGATTTCCCGAAATGCCTGTCGAGTATTGAGAGGCTTACGCCAGAGCCTCGGACGAGCAGGATGCTTGTGTAGTTGTGTCTTACTCCGGGAAACCCGCATTGGAGTAACCTAACGCAAGTTCATAACCCCAGCACACACAAATACATATTTAGACGGAGCGGTCTTCCGCTCGAGCCCACAATTCCGCCTGGCTCCATGAGAACAGCACTGTTTCCCCAGCTGGTCAACGCGAATGAGTTAGCCCTGACTGTGAATGTGGATACTTTCTATTCGCTTACAAGGATTAAAAAGACATGTTTTCCCAGCTGGTCAACGTTAATGAGTTACCCCTGGCTCTGAATGTGGACACTTTCTATTCGCTTATAAGGATCAAAAGACATATGATAACCCCTTCAATTGTCTGCAAGGCTTTCTAGACGATTCTCCAGACGCTTTGAAGAACATATGTTTTTTTTAATGACGGCTTTCTTGGTACAACAGCCAGCATACCGGTACCCTTCACATCGATCAAGAATCAAGAAGACTCACGAGGCGAAACAAAGCTTGGGTGTTGGAAAAGATGGAGCAAGAGTCCAGTCCAGTCTTTCACGGAGAGACTTAACTGCTGTCAACACCCTGATCAGACCGTATGACCGGATTTTGATGGGCCTCGACCGACATGCCCGAGCAACGGCCTACTTCAGCTTGCGTCGGGCGTAGGTATACCGTACATCGAGTAGACATTGATTTAGGAAGCTAAGTCTCTTAAGGCCCGCCATCGACACCGACAACCTCATCTCCGGATTGCTCCCACCAATTCCCGCTGCATCGGGGTCGGTAGACGTATTACGTCACCAAAAGAAACCCTGGCTGGCGCCAGTCGCCCCTTCAGGGGATCCACATTACCGGTTGGTGATATCAAAAAACCCTGCCCAGAGTACATGACAGCAGCGAGGGAAGAAATACAAATCCCCAAGTGCGTAGTCTGAATCTGTCTAGGGTGCCCAAAAATGCGACAACCTAGGCTTCGTGTCATGTACGAAGGCTCTTTACCTCGAAACCAAATGCGTTGATCGCCCGGGACCGTCTTCGGAAATACAACTGAGGACGAACTCATGATGCGCGAGAACAGAGGCCGAGATTGAGGAGTCAATCGCGCTGAAAGCAAGGAATGCCTATCTGTGCTGCATGTTTCCACCAAAAAGGATCCGATTTCCTTGGGAAGAACCACGTTTCTTCGGGCCCATCAGGTTCCTTGTCGCCGAACATCGAGAGCTTCCGGCAACTCCCCTAAACGTCGACAAGGGGATTTAACAATGACTTGGAGCCACCTTCCGTTATGGGTAAGGGCGTTGATTTTTCAGCTTGTTGACGAGAAGAGTCTTCAAGCATCGTGCAATTCCAGCAATGATGGGGTTTGGAGATTTGACAAGGACGTTCAGGTGAATACAAGTTCTCACTTATCTTGGTCTACCGCTTTATCAACCTTCGCCTTGATGTTTCTGTCTTTAGTAGAATCCAGGAACGCGTGTATACCACTCTAATGGGAAAGAGCTTTGCTACCTGCGCGTTTATCTTGAGCTTGGTGCGACGCGAGTGGCTCGATGTGGATTGCGCTTGAGGGTCTGTTGTAAGAGTCTTGACTTGACCAAGTAGCTTTGGGGTGGTGAAGAGGGAATTTTGCTGTCAGCAAGCGCGAACAGTGGGCTGGGAGGATGGCAAGCAGCGAGATCCAGCTATTCAAGACATCATCGGTAAGTTTAGCGTTCTATCACGATGGGCTTTGAACAATGGTAACGTTGAAATTTTTGTCTTCTCATGAAGCGATGCAGAACTTGTTCATTAGAGCTGCAAAGAGCGGCTTGTCGAAGATTGAGTGTGCGCTCGTCTCCGATTTAGTTCTTAGCTAGAGGAAACCGGCACGGCATACATTCCCCACCTTTTGTCGATTGTGCTTGCTCAGAGATACCCTCGGCCTTTAGGCTCTAGCCAGCCTTCAAATACGCTGTAACTTTCCAAGAAACGCGAAAGCGGAAAGGCGCAGCCACCACAGCTAGCTCTGAAACACTTTGCCCTCGCTTTATCTCCATAGCCTCAGACCGAATGGCCGACGACAAATGGGGCTTACAGTTCGGCAGAGGTGAGTAGATCCTAAGTATATGCACTTTGTTCGACATACAACAGACTATCTCGAGAGATCACGATGAAGCTCGATGGCGGAGATGAGACGATCATAAAGGCTGGTGACTACCTACTGCAAAGAGGAACTATGCATCAGTGGTACAATCTACCTGGGCTATAACGATATATCGTTTCATGGAGACAGTATCGTTACACCCAAATTATCGTTAAGCCTAGATTTGCACTAATTACTACTGAAATACGCCTAAATCGATGCCTGCTTTTGGCAGAAGCCTTACGAGCTCTGATTCTCTCTCATATCGATTCAGACGTGTGATTAGTACATCATCGCCGTCGTTTTATTGTTCCTCGTATAATTGTAGACGTTCCAGTAGCTTTAGGGCCTCTGAATCCTTCTTCAAGAACCAGGCCTGAAGCGCCTGTATCTTACGCTTACTATCTGATCTAATCGCATTATATAGCGTAGGTCTCGTCATTCAGCGTCAGTAACTGCCCGGCGTCGTTTTCGAGTAGGATTAGACGGTGGGAGGGAGATGGTGCCCTAGAACCACTGGAATCCTGTTTCAATAGCGGCGACGATAGCGAGGATACATTGTTTAGGGCCATTAGATATAACGATATTACTGAATTTACTGGGTAAATGCTAACGATATCGTAGTAGACAAGTTATCGTTATTCTACACCAAAATAATATTGCATGGCTGTGCAATCGTTACAACCATATCGTTATGTGGCGAATCGTTATGGTGCTGTACAACCAGACGAAGGAACCCTGCCGAATCCTGGTCGTCGTGGGTCACAGAGGACGGCAAGGAGTTGGATGCGTACTTCCCGCCACCAGCGAAGAAGGAATGATTCAGTGGTGGATTGCGAGTGTTGAAATTGAGGCCTGTAGAATTCAGGATCTTTTGTGTCAGTCGATTCGTATCCTTTGACTGTTCGCGCCGCGGTCGATATATATGCGTCTGCATTTGGAACTCCATCTTGCCCGATGTGTCAATTTATTCATTTCACTCTTACTTAGCGAGAAAGAAGAAGAAAAAGCTATATCTTTTTTTATTTCTATAAGATATATAGTCTAATATTAAAATTTAAATTACGTAACTCTTAACGCTCGTATTATAATTATACTCTTTCTTTATAGAGCTTTATAAATTAATCTAATAAATATCTATTAAAATATATTATCTAATTAAATTAAAAGATTTATCGAGATAAGAAAGATTTACTAAGACTTAGCGATATATATATTTATAATACTCTTTATAGTTAAATCTAATTAACTAAGTATTTTATCTATTAATATATATAAAAGAATAAGATAGAGCTAAGCTATAAAATCTTAAATTTATATATATAATTAATTATAAATTTAGAGTTACTACGCTCTTTAATTAGATCGACTAAATTATCGCGAATAAATAAATTAATATTCGCAACTACTAAACGTTCGTAACTATTAAAAAAATAGATATATATTATTAATATATAAAATAACATCTTTATTTTCTATTAAAATTCTAAGATTTTTTTCTTTAATTATAGAGCGAAGATTGCGCTTTCTAATAATATAAAAATTCTAAAATTTAATCTTATAATTATTAAAGGATAAGGACCTTAAATATCGCTTATTAAAGTTCGCTTATTAAAGTTCGCTCTATTAAAATATAAAGATAACTATAGAGTTTTATAAAAGAAAAGAGCGACTTAATACGAGCGCGCTAAGGCGTATTACGTAACGTAGTCATATAATTACTAAGACGCTAAGAGTTACGTAATTCGAATTTCAATACTCTTCTTTATATATATTCTTTTATAAGCGAAATCTAT